TTCTATCATAATTAAAGAATGAGAGAAAGAAGTGGAACATGAAAAAGAGGAAGAAGAACACAATGAAACAATGAGGGGACGAACGATAAAGAGGAAGAAGAGTTGTCGCTGCATACATGTAGAAGATTAGAGTGGGTAGAGGTTAAAAAATATTAACCCTAAAATTTTACTAAGGGTAAAATAGGAATGGAAAGAAATGGGTAAAACAGGAATGAGGTGGTGGAGGGAGCAAGAGGGGGTGGTAGAGGGAGTAACACCCCTAGTTTAAAGGGTGTTTAAGAAGAGTTTGGTTTGACCATAAAACAAATGTCAAAACTGGCTAAAATAATAATTAAAATCAACATAGGTCAACCAAAGTATTAAAATCTCGAGATTAAGATAAAGGAAAATATCAATAAACAATAATTATAAGAAAGTAGTGTGTCTAAAATTTAACCTAATATAGAAGATGAACTCAAAATTTAGATGTTTTAATTTAATTAACATATTCTATAATTTAGGAGGAACATTTTAGTAAAAGATAACTTATGTTTATATTTTATTATATTTGTATCTTAAAGAGTACATGGTTTTTGTAACTGAAATAGTTATAAATAGAAAAGCAAAATCAAAGCTTAAGGAGGATTTTTTTTCTTGCTTAAAAGAACTTTTAACTTTAAGTCAAATTTTTTATCTTTTATTTTCTTTGGTTTAGAGTTTTGTACTCTTAATTGAAACAAAACCTTATTGGTTAGAGGTGAACTTTAAGGCTAATTCAACCCCACAAAACCGGTTTGTAGAATGAGATTTGCACCAACTTATAAACTAAGAATTGACCTTATCTCTAATTCATATGGGACTTCCAACATAATTGTGGTTCTTCTTAATATTTGATGAGTGAATTACTTAGAACAAAAATTCTACAAAATTCACTCAAATCAATAAACCTAAAACTATAAGTTGTAACTCTCCTGTCAATTTTTAACATAAAAATCAAATTATGTTTCAAATAAATTCATGTTAAACATTAATTTTGATATCTTAGTTATGCTAACACCCAAAACTTGTAATCAATCATTTATCATAACATGAAAAATTATAGAAAAAAAATAAATAATAAAAGCATATAATGCATAGGGGTAACATCAAATCCTTATAAAAATTCACCTCATGAATATATAAGTAATTTATACCTATTATGAAAAGAATTCAAACTAATAAAACATTAAACAACTTATAATATTTATAAAAAAACAAATTAACTTTCCCTTAAAAAAACATAAATTTTTTTACATTTGTTTACAAAAGATGCTAGCAATCACATCTCTAAAACTCCTAGAAACTTCTTTTTTTAATATATATAAATGTGGAAATAATTTTTTCATTCAGGATAAAATAAAATTTTAGTCTCCTCGTAATTTTATAATCAGAAAATTTTATTTTCTTAATTTCAAATGTTGACATCTAATTTTTCTGTTTTATAAAACCAGGAACTTTGCTCTGAAATAGTCTAAATTAAAAGTTTGATATATAAGATATTAGGGTAGACTGGCACATGAAAAAATTTAAATAGTATTTTCTTACTGTTTGATTTGTTACAAAAATAAAAGAATAAGGACAATGTAACTACGAAAAAACTAATATCAAAATAATCTTAATAATCTTAAAACAAATAAATAGGACAATAATTAGAGCGTCTCAGACAAAAGAAAATATTAATGTTTTAATTTTGATAATAGCAAATTTGTTTTTTTAACTTTTAATAAATTATATTTATAACTGTTTCAAAATAAACCTTTAATTCAAGACATAGATAAAGAAAAAGGACAGTACACGTGGCAAAACGTGCATGCTATCACTTCAAGACATAGATACTCTCCACGCTCCACTCTGCTCGGAGTTCTCATCACAAATCGTTTACCCATTATTATGTTTTCATTATTTCTTTTAAAAATAAAAGAATGAGTAAAATTTATATGAATCTATGGTAACTAAATAAGATATCGAAATAAAATCGTAGTTAGATAAAAAAATTAACTGGCAAAAATTTAATTAAAAAAGTATGATTTTATTAAATATTTAATAGATCATAAAAATTCAATTAAATGTTTTTATATTTATAAAAAATTTAAAACTTAATTAAACCTTAAATAAATATAAAATTAAATTAATTTTAAGAAAAAAATTTAAGTAATTAATTTGAATTACATACTTTAATCACCTAAAAATTATCAGTTATGTTTATTATTTATAAGAATAAATTACACATAGAAATTTGTTTAGATACAAAAGTAAAATTACTTTTGAGAACTTTTACATTGGAAAAAGTTTTATATTTTCAGGAAAAAAGCTATTTAAAATATTTTCAACTAGTAAGTTATTTGACTAACATGATTTTTTTTTTTTCGTAATAGTCAGGCAATGTAAATAAATAATTTTGCAGGCTATTATATATATAAAAAAAAATCTCGTAGGTTTTTCACGAATTATCAGATACACACAATGGTCTTCAAAAGGAAGAAAAAAAAAAGAAAAAGAAGAAAATGAAAAGAAGCGAAAGTATCGCCGGTAAAAGCGGTTGTTACGTTGGTTCCAGTTGAGGGAGCTTGGGATTTGACGGCGCAGTTTTGAAAAGCATTGACTTCGGGTCAACCAATCCAGGCAATCACTGTGTGACACGTCATATCTTTTCACACCCAGAGGATTGACCAAAATCTCCTCTTTAACACGCTATGTATGGCATTCCCAATAACAATCACAAAGATAATTAATTATATATTTATTAGTATTAAAAGAAAGGTTTTGTGATACAGAGAGATCTTACTTGGAAGTGGATTTCAGAATCTGAGCTCCTTCTCCTAACATTATAAAAATAAGAACAAGAAAAAGGGACACTAAAGATTTTGTGATTTCCTGATAGATTTGCTTTTGCCAAAGGGACTTTATATTATACACAGATATTAGTTGATACATGGAATACAAAATCTTTCATTCATAATTACATTACTTTTAAAAATGAATTTTCAATAGATAAATTTTTAAGCTAATTATATTTTAAAAAATAATGTATGCAGTTAATTATTTTCGACCAGTCAATTGATTAATTATATATATATATATATATATATATATATATATATATATATATATATTAAATGTTTGTCTTAAATCATATTCAATGTACTTGCTTAAAAACATTAATTGTTAAGAGGATTGTTTGACAAAATTTACCATTTGAGGAAATGACTTGATATTCCACATATGCGTAGTTGCTTATATCAAGTAACATTGTTTAAGAGTATTCACAATGCATGATAACTTGAATGAGTGGTTAATCTTAATTTTATGAGTTTTGCTACAGCTACACGTGTTAATAAATATTACAAAACTTATTCTAAAGCTAAAATGATTAAAGCAGGTGTTTAACTTAAGTTTTACAAATTCTAATCAAACTCAATATTAATGCTTCAAAATATGTTTAATATTTTTTTCTCATTTAAAGCATAATGTTTTGAATAAGTTATTTATATAAATAAATAAGAATGTTTATAGAAATAATATAATTGTTGGTAACTATTTGGCTTGTTAAGCGAAAATAATTTATTTGAAAATCAAGATCTTGTTTAGGTTTAATCATTGATTGATTATTTATTTTTTAGGTGAAATTCATTTAGATGAAAATTCAAGAGTTTTGTTCATTGGATTGACTAAGATTATTGGACGAGCATATCTTAGGCTTAGTGACTAAGAATAATGACTACACGAATTTATAAATGTGTTTAAGTTGCCAAACCAACAAAATAATAATAACTGAACGAGTACAATATTTTCTAAATTTTAACTAATATTCTCTAAATATTAAAATTGTTTATATATGTATTTATATCACTAAATTGTATATTTCATTATCTTTTTTTATTTGAATATTATTATAGCATGATAAATAATCAATTAAAATTTATCCATATTTAGTTTCATGTTGGATTATATATGATTAAAGTATATTTTTGAGATAATAAGAGTTAAGGTCGAGATGGTATATGAATATCTGTTGTAATGTGAGGTATTAAGCATATCCAGTTATGTTAGGAAGATCTTTTACTTTGTAATGATATAAGTTATGTAGATTAATATATTAAGTGATGAGAAGTGAATAATGATGAAAAGTGAATAAAATTTTATAATATAATCAGAACACATGTTGATGTTTGAGTACAAGTATAATTTAAACTTATTCTAACTGATCAAGATAAAGATTAAGGTTATAGATATGTGTTGTAGGTCATGTGTACATATCTGATATGATATATTTAATATAGAACTTTCAAAAGACATCAATAAATATTTTTTAATGAATATTCTTCCTATTATTAAACAACGTGTAATATAAATTTGAGTTGTGTATGACTAATGTACAAAACAATGTTAGTCGTATAGTAACTTCAAATTATATACCCCAATTATAATTTTTATTAAACAACATTGTCTAATTGGAATAAACTTCTGTAAACAACTATTAATGACGTAATACAAAATTCAACAATTGTAATACGCGTAATTATACTTAATAATAAATTATACTAGTGTAAAGATATGTCATACTTTCCAATCAAATTTTAATATTTTCAACTGCGCAAATTAATATGATGTAATATATCTTTCATCAGAAAGTATTTTGAGCTTTGGAATGTGTAATTTTAAAAGTAACCATAAAAACCAATAAATTATTATTTTTTTAAATATCAATAAACATATAGCTTATACGTATGATTTATAACTAAGCATTAAACCTTTTTGGTAAAAAAAATTACCTTTTTGCTTTTTCAACTGTTGATCTAGAGCTTTTTATTATTCTTTAACAAGTATGAAATTTTTTTATTTCCCTTATGAAGATTTCCACAAATGGGTTACAGAAAAAGAAAAAGAAAATGGTGACGTGACATGATATGATAATGGATAGATTGACAGAAGAACATCTCATGTTACATTATTATATTACACTAAGCTGTATTTAAGATCTAAGCAAGCACCCGCGTCACGTTGAGGATTCCTTCGTCTCTGTCTTTGTCTCTTTCTCTCACTCTTTGCTTTTCCTCCGGTCGAAGCAAGAGATGGACTCCAACACTATCGTTTCATGGCCCAGGATGTCAGAAAACATTGAGGGTTTTGCTCTCTCACCCAACAAATCCGAAGAGGTTCATGTTTTAGCAGTTGATGACAGCCTCGTTGATCGCAAAGTCATCGAACGCTTGCTCAAAGTCTTAGCTTGCAAAGGTTAATTCTCTCAGATAATTAAGTCAAAAAGAGAAGTTTTTGTTGATTTGCTTGATAAAAATCTTCGCTTTATCAGTGTTCCTTGTAAACTGAAAATTTTCTTTGTTGAATTACAGTTACTGCTGTGGATAGTGGGCTGAGAGCACTGCAATTGCTTGGACTATTGGACGAGCAGAAAATTCCCTCCGAAACTAATGGTTTTGCTGTATGTATCATGGGATCATTTAATTCAGTTCCATTTTCCGTAAGAAGAAAAACTGACAGAAAAATGAAACCATAATGTTCTAATCTGGGTTGTGCCATTTTCCTTAGCAGGGTTTAAAGGTGGATCTAATTATCACAGACTACTGCATGCCTGGAATGACAGGTTATGAGTTACTGAAGAAAATCAAGGTTAGACAATTCAAACAATGTTCCTTCAATTTTCCACATTATAATAATAATAAAGCACAATAATGGGTTTTCTAAAGGTTTAACATGGAACAGGAATCGTCCACTTTCAAGGAAACTCCAGTGGTGATTATGTCCTCTGAAAACGTTTTGCCACGCATAGACAGGTACCATTGTGTGGAGAGTTTAGTTTTTCTGGGAGTTGAATTGGGTAAAGAAAAAGTGGTGAAAAAGATTTTGAATTTTGGGAAATTATGCAGATGTTTGGAAGAGGGTGCAGAGGATTTCATAGTTAAGCCAGTGAAGTTATCTGACGTTAAGCGTTTGAAGGATTACATGACAACAAAGGAGGCTAAGGTTGAAGGCCAAGACAGGGAAGGGATCCTCAAAAGGAAGCTCTCAGACACTTCTGAAATGTCATCATCATCACCACCGTCTATTTCCTCATCATCTTCACCCTCAGTGATTCACTCTCCCATCAGACGGCTTAAAATGACCAGCACTGATTGATGTGTATATATATATATATATACACTATATACACTCAGCAATTTCCGTTTTACTTCTCTCATTCCTCTAAACACTACTATGTGTATTTCTATATTAGAGTGTTTTGTTGTTGTTTGATTTCCTCTTTTAGGGTTTAATCTGCAATTACCTTCCCGTTAAATGTAACGGTTTTTGTTGCGCTGCCCTTTTTGTTATCTCTCACTAAGTTATTTTAATTGTTTACACGAAGGTCGGTTAATAAAGTTATTGACTTATTAGTGTAAATGATCGAGTCATTAGGTTTGTTTGATTTTCGAAAAGGGTAAAAGCAAAACCGAAGAAAAAGATTAAGCGCTTTAGTGATGAAGATTAAGGGTGAGTGGAATGAAATTGAAAAGAAGAAGAGCAGCAAGGTTTTAGTGTGTGTTGGTTGGATGAGAGTAATGAATGTAGGTGTGGAAATGATGTGAAAGAGATGGAATTATTTGATGATGAGATAACGTGAATGGGATGGAATATAAGTGTAGGTATACGAAGAATAAGGAAAAAATGGGGTGTGAATTGGATATGTGTTTGAAGTGTTGTTGTGCGAGAAAGAAGATAGGAAAGTGTAGTGGGGTCAGAGGGGGTTTCTGTATTTGTCTAGTTGTCTCCAATGGAAAGGCTTTTCTGCCATAAACCGTTTACTATGCTATATTACCAAACCTTGCCCATGTGGAATTGGAATATTTGGTCATTGGTGCTGGACCAGTCTCGTCTAAAGAGACTAGGGGACACACACCATCTTGTACCTTTCCTTCTTTAATTTTAACTCTCTTTTTGGCATCATCACATGCGATATTTACTTCTCTCTTTTACCATATCATGTTTCAACTCACACACTGTTAAAACCACAAAACCATTCCCACTTCAACATTCAACACTCAACCGTGTTTCTACATTAGATTCTGTCTTTTTCTCTCTATCCATTCTCACCAAGCTAATAACTCTTGTTAAAGATAGTCAAGATTCCTATAATTACCAGCTTCTCACGTCACCCGATTCAACACTCATCATATCTATTATTCTTAATTATCACACCCCTTCAATCTTATAATTAATGCTTTTCTCTCTTCATCTCTTTCCAGCTCCCCCTAATTCTTCAATCCGACTTCCAAAACTTTAACAGATAAAACTGATATATTACTTAATAATAAACTTTAAGTCTGATTCTATTTTATAAAACTGATATATATATATATATTTATGGAGTGTGAAATTAGATATAAATAATAATTCAATAATAGATAGTATAATAAATAATAAATATCATTATGATAGGTTTTGAATCACATTAATGTTATACTAATAAATAAACTTTAAATCTAAATAATAGTACGAGACTAATTGATGAATAAGTTTTGTATTATTTATATATAATATATTTATTTTATTTTTAGTTGATATGACGTTTGAAAACAAGGTAGTAATGAGTTGTGTCTTTTAATAAATGGTTTGAGAGATAATTTTTTTTTATGGAACTTTATATATGAATTAAATGATATTGTAAGGGGATAATTGGTATAGAGGGAAATGAAAGAATGAAAAGACGAGTAGATGGGTTGGGCCTGCGTAATTAGGAGTGAAGATATGCAATATGATATTGGGGTCCATAAAACCCACAATGCCAGGTATAATAGAAGAAATAACAATCTTTCTGGTGGACATGAATGTTGTATCAGCAGGTTGGTCCCGTAATAATTGTCTCAGTCCAAAGTTTAAATTTAATTATGTGTGTCATGGTTGGCAAAATCATGATACGTAAAATCTGCTATGTTTTGTTTGATTGTGCTACAGTGGGACATATGGGTCTTTTAATATTTGTTGTCAATTTCTCATAATTGTAGACGAAAGTTTACTCATGGATCATGTATAGATTCTCTTGTCGCTTTCGTTTCTAAAACCATTTCTCTCTGCCTTAAATAGCTTTTAGCTATCATCACACAAATTATTATCATCAACTTGCCTAATCAAAAATGTTCATCACTGGCATTATGGATTCACCTGTTCCTTTGCATGGCTACACTTCCTCAGGTTTAATCACATGTCACAGAAGCTATTACGGAAACATGTCGTATTATCTTTTTACTATATAGTATAAATATATTTATTAATTTTATTACCAGAATAATTGGACAGACTTTAAATAAATCTCTCATTTTAATAATGTTTTTTCATCTTTAACATTTAAATCTAAAGTTTTATTTAAGAAATTTGACTTTTATTCCAACGCCTTGAGGTAGCACCCCTTCCCCCTTTAACCCCGTCTCCTCTACGTCCTTCACTACAAAAATCTGTATTTTTACCAGGGGTTTTTTTAAATATTACCGGCGGTTTTAACCCCCGCAAATCATATTTCCCGCGGTTGGAAAAACCGGTGGGAAAACGTCCGTCGCCAAGCAAGTACCGGCGGTTATGGAAAAAACCGCCAGTATTAGCGGGGGTTTACAGAAACCGCCGGAATTTCCAGGGGTTTTGTAGAAACCGCCGGAATTAGTTGGGGCTTTATGAAAACCGCCGGGAATAGCGAGGCTTCTCAAAAACCTCCGGAACTAGCTGAGGTTATCTCAAAACCGCCCCTATTTTTAATGGTTTAGTTTACCGGGGTTTTAAAACCGCCGGGAATTTGTATAGTTCATTTTTTTAATTATAATAAAATTATATTATAATAAAAATGATTTTATTGACAAAACAAACAATAAATTAATATGAACTAAAATTTAATAATATTGTATAAAATAAACTACATTGTTCAACCTAATATCATTCATACAACTAATTGTTCATACATAAAAATTAGAAAGAAAAAGGTTCATTACATATGTTCAATATAAATGTTCAATACTAAAAGTATGACTCATAAAAGTATTGAATAACAATCTAATTTTTTTTTCATTACATCCATGTTTGGCCCACTCCCTTGATCAGATACCTTACAATATAACTAATAGTTAGTCGATAATATTTAATAAACATATCCTTTGGTCTGGTCGTCCTCCCTCGTCTACCGCGCTCGTCCAACTAGCTCCCTGTTCCCGACCGTTCGGTCTAGTCGTCCACCCTCCTCTACCGATCGTCCAACTAGCTCCCTATTCCCGACCGTTCGGTCTGTTCGTCTTCCCTCCTCTACCGGTCGTCCCACTAGCTCCCCGTTCCCGATCGTTCGGTCCGATCGTCCTCCCCCTCTACCGTTCGGTCAAATAGCTCCCCACCTTCTACCGTTCGGTCCCCCTCTCTCTCCCTCCTATACCTTCTTCTCTCATACACTTTCCAGCCCCTAACAGAGCACGTCTCAGATTACCTATGCCAAATGTAAGTCCAGTATAACTATTACTAATCAATATAGTTTGTAAAAACTAAATCTAGTTTACACTCCTTAAATCAATAAACTTCAAAAATTAGTACATATTGCCAGAAAATTAGCAGAACATTAGGGGAATCATATGAAAAACTTCAGATTTACAAATCATTTCAGTTATTGATGAAAAACAAGTGAACTGTAGAATATAAATGTTTTCACAACAGAAATGAAATGAAATTACCTTCAAGCGTTCTCTTTGACCATGTATTGAAGAAAGGATGGCTTCCCCAATGCATTTGCATTTTCGAGTTCCGGGGCAGAGGCGCGAACTGAATGTAATGCTTTGCCTCCTCATGAAAAATTCTTGAACAATGAGGAAATCCCCATTCTAGCAATTTCAAATGAAGTAGTTATCAACACAATGAGGAAGTTAAAAATAAGCACTAAACTAGAACATGATGGTAACAACATACAGCTCGTCCCCAACATTCTGCTCTCTTATTAGCTTCTCTCATCCGTTTCTGATGCCGTAGGTTTAATTTATCCAAACTTGCTCTTAGTGATTCAGCCTCGTCAGCTATTTGTTCCACTTTTCTGAATAATAAACATAATATCTTTAATGAAAATCCTCAACTAGAATACGCAATTCCAGCAGCAGAACCCATTATAGCATAGATATATGCAGAAGATCACATAATTGTTTTCTGTATTATGATATGACAATAGCATTTAGTTATGCGTGTAATCATTTGCACAAAATGACTACCCCAGATAACTGACAATAAAGAGAACCTGTCATTAAAAGTTTTTTGACTCCAAAATTCTGCATAGATCTTAATAACAGAAGAGCATCACTAAGGTCAAGGATAATTATTGTAAATAATTATAGTCCAAAAGATTGAGATTTCACATGATATAGGGTATGTAAAAAATTAATTTGTTTAAAGCAGGAGATAGATTAATTTTCAAGGAGAGGGGGGGACCAAAATAAACAAATATTATACAGTATGTTTGTCACGTTTAATTTGTCAAAACGATGCGGTGTTAAGAAATGCAGCAACGATAAAAGCGAATTTATATAGATTATATTGAGGTAAGTTCTTGTTGTTGAGGTAAACGCTAAGAAACATTGCAGTCTCAGATACAAAAATCAACATCAATGGACAAAGATTGCAGTCTCAGATACAAAAGACACTAGGTAATTATAAGCTATTGCAGATACAAACCAATTGCTATCATAATATAATTAATCCTCAATTTCTAGATTCCTAAAGTTAGTGGCTAAATTACAAGTTTCTTATTCTTATATAACCATTTCCCCCCTTTTCTTGACGGATAAGTAGATCCAACTTAACTGTTGTAAACAAAAATTAGTTCGAGTTGTCAGTATAAACACCTGTAATCACCTTATTATCCACATTGCCAGTTTAGCACAACTACAAAGTAACAATTCCATACATCTATTACTACTGTCATAAACCAACTTCAGCACCTCTAGTATTTAACCTCAAAAAGATAAATAATATACATACACCTATTACTCTCATACACAACTAGAACAGACCACCTCTAGTGTCATACTAAGTTACAATCTGAGGTTTAGATTACAGCCCCTAACCAAATTCATGGTTTCAAAAATCTCCCCAATCGCAATTCCGGCCACATTTTATCATTTACCTTCAGTTTTTTAGCAATTCAATCTCAATTTAAACCTTCATGCAAGTCAACTGGAGTTCATTATAATAAAAAGAACAATTCCCAATAATCTCTGTTAAAACTTGAAAAAGATAATGATATAAACTCATTAACTACATAAGAAACCAGATGACCAATAAAAATATTATTCACTTAAGGGTTCCTAATAAAAAAGAGAATGTTCATATTTCAATACATTCTTTGTTACTTTCTTTATCAAAAGCTATC